TAGAATGCCCGTCTGATTCAGAATATTGTTGTTGCTCAATCGCTAGAGCTTCACATGCACACTGACTATCCACGGATTAGCCACAAAGGTCGATGTACATCACTATGCACTGAGTGTGCTCTCAAACGGATGATCCGAGACAACTAGCTCTTAGCGACTCGTTCAAGGTCATCCCATGATTTGTGGCACCGACGTTTGAAGATGGAATCTTGTGGATATGTACCGTAAAACATATTCTCTTCGCTATGACCTCTCCAAAGGAACGAAACTCGTTCGAAAAAACCAACTTCGTTCAAGTGGTCTTCCAAAAATTTGAAGAGAAGAACCTATTTGCTTTTATTAAGTTTTCGTCAACATTTGATGCCATATACAATCAAATTTTCTTTTGTTGAAAGACCTTCTATCATCTGATTTTCCTGAATGAGCAAGCATATTTCGACGAAATCTATGCTACACATAAGTTCCCGGTTAAGCAATTCATAACTGTGTAATGACCTGCAAAAAAACATAAACAGTTCTGTGCAATGCTCTTTTCTGTCTTTCTCTCATTCTTCCTTCTTCATTTCTCTTTTTCCTCTGATTGTCGTATTCGTTTCTTTAAAGAGAATGGAGATGTCAAGGCTGAAATAGTTGTTGTACAAATATTTTCTCTTCTGTTTCTGTCGTCGTAGTTTTGTTCTTTTTCGAGTCCACTGGGAAATGTGCCGGATGAGAAAAGTCTCATCAGTGATGATACTTGGTTGTGGGAAACCTATGTCTGACAAATGTGACAGTCTATTGTATACAGGGAAAATAACCACACGGAAAGCATTATTTCCTGTATAAATACCTGAGCATAATCTAGTAGTTGATTAAACAAGTTATATATAACAGTGGTCTCAGTCAATAGAGTGTACACAGACATATTGTTCTTTGAATCGACAGAAGAGATCTATACTTGGAATCAAGTACACAAACATCTTCAAGCATTGACGGTAGACACAATATCAGATTACTTGTTGCGATGCAATATAATGTTCTCTTTCTTCGTTTCATTTCATTCAACTAGATATGAATCTGCCATTTGTAAACACTTGGATTCTATCATCATTACTAATTGGATCATTCCTACTTTATAGTGTAAATGGTAAGAAATACATTTAACCAAGCATAACATTAGTATTTAGAGAGTTTTTTCATTTCACTCTATATTGAGACAAAGCCAAGATAGAGAATGTCTACCGGATATGTGTCGCTCAAAGTAAGGTTTTTTGGTAGCGGTTTCGACTATTGTCTCCATGCGGCTCCTCAACTAGACATCGTTAGACAAAGACCTGACCCTGCATTGCAAGTCCCTAGTTAAGATGGTAGGTTATCATTTCCCAAAAACTGTGGTCTCCTGAATCCATTCCTGAATCGGGTCCGCATTTGTGGACTTTCAAACCATTAAGATCAATTCTGGTGACCAAGTAGGAACTTTATTTTAGAGACTGGAGACTTTCATTCAGGAACTTTTTAATATAAGAAATATCAAAGACGTATTGTATATCTTATACAAAAACGTTCCTGAATTAAAGTTCCTACTTGGTCATCAGAATTAATCTTAATTGCTTGAAAGTTCAGAAATGTGGACCCGCTTTAGGAATCAATGCAGCAATCCACAGTTTGTGGGAAATGATAGTCATTCGTTAAAATCTGACATTGTTTCGTT